GCGCAGAGGCTGAGGAACCTTGGAAATGGCAGGTTGTGAAAAGGGATATATATATCACGAAAGCTAGCCTTAGCTAGCTGAAGTTGCTCTTGCTTTAGCAAGTTAAATGATGGGGTGGACGCGCCTCAGAAACCTCAAAAGTATAGAAAAGTCGTGCGCGTGTGCGTGTTTTTTGTCCTGTTTTGATGGGGGTGACTCCGGCTGCAGAGAGGCCATCCGGCACTGGAGGAGCTGCTCTTGACACGCTTGGACAACACGGTCGGAAGGCTCAGACGTCCTTTGTTGGTTTTCTGTTTGGTGTCCACTTTGGTTGGTTTGTGTATAATGGTCTCCATTGGTTTGTATGACTCGGTTCAGCCAGTTCAGCTCTCTTTCTTGCGGATATGGCTTGGTTGGCTAAGGGGAAGGCGCTTCTGCCTTGTGGCCAACCTTCGTGTTGATTTCGGGAAGGGGGGCAACACATGCCATGCCACTTCTTGACATTTGCAAGGCCCGGCCACTGGTGGGCCAGAAAGGGGTCGAAAGATCCTCAGTCTCACAGAAACATTTTTTCGAGGACTCAAGTGAGTCAAGTGAAGTAGAATATTCACTGCTGCCTATGTGAAGGAGACTTTGCCATTGTGATAGAAAGAACAGTTGGGGCTTGCACTCATTGGTTACGAATGGGTAGCCTTACGCATGTAGCCTTTACGAGAAGAGACGGCAACCGACAGATTCATTTGCTGGACAGCGAGGTGCTGGACTAGTCACAGCGCCCCGTCGAAACAAAACACATCCTTTCACGGTCTTTTTTTCTTCGACAAAGGACCCCTTGAACAGGGGCAACGAACAAGTTCCACTGGAAGCTAGGATTTTTGGGACACGAAACCTCAGATTCTTTTGGTTCTCAGGGGTGTTTGGAAAAGAACTCAAGGGTCTTCTTGCGCTGCGACCTGAGGTGCCCTTGCGCTTCTTCCACTGAGCTTGTGAGCAGGTTTCAGGAAATCAAGATTTCTCCAGATGACTGACTCGGGAACGAGCAAACGAAGCAAGACTAGTGAACTAAGTGGTTGTAGCGCCACCTGAGAGAGGATATGTTAGGTTCAACATGTTTATTGAATTGATCGAACTTGAGCAGGTTCCACATTTCCCAGCAAATGCATTCCTTCCTGAGCTGGCTCCACTCGTTCTTCTCGTATCCGCTGTCGCGGGCATCTGCCGCCTTCGTTCGTTCGCCTATTGGGTTTTTCGCGGCGCCCCCAGAAAAGGGTCGAGCCATGTGGAGGGTTGCAGCCCAGCACTTGGGAATGTAGACTCTTGATGAATTTCTGAATTACCCACCCTGTTAGGATTGCACAACCTGGTCATATAGAACATTCTTAGCAATTAATTCCATTAGTTCAACTTTTCCCCACTAGGTCACAGCCTGGTGAAGAGCCTTGCTACATAGGAGGAGTATTTGCGACGGTTTTTGTGTCAGATAGGCCAAATCGGTAGAACCCCCGCAGAGCAATGTGCCTCCAAACTTCTGCCTTGCGGACTTGAAAGACTTGGGCTGGTCATAGCGGCTCTCGTATGATGTTCTCACAGCTCAAGCAAGAACACAGACCCAGCCAGACCAGGGTCCTGCTGAATCCTTCAAAGATGGTTTTTGGGGTAGTTGATGGTTTGAATCGACTTCCCTAAGGTCCCCTTGAACTCTGGTGCCCTTTCCAGTTATCGCGTTGCCACTTCTTTCCACCAAGAGGGCCGAACTCTTCTAGCGCCGGCCGTCGATGTCCAAGAAGCGCCGGTGTGGCCGTCGTTGTACCAGTGATCACAGAATAACAACATGTTGGACGTGATTTTTGACTTATAGTTATCTATAAATGATTATTTATAACATCTATACTGTATATTGGCTAAAAAGCTGATGAGGCCAACAGCTTTTGGTGCCCAGCAACCGCAAGCAGCAAGCAGGGAAACAGTAGGGAATGCTTGCAAGTTTGGGCCATGCTCTACTGAAAAGCTACTGAGTGCTCTTGGGAATGCATGAATCTTGACCCATCCACCCAACACCACTCTGAGAAGCAAGCCTAGCAGTGGACAACCCAATGCTTGGAGAGGAGTTCCAGCCTTGTTGGACGGGCCATTTTCCACTTCGACACTGAGAACTCCAGAGAAAGGAACGACCACCTCATCAACACTGAGCAGGCAACACTTTCAGGTAGGGCACCGCATGTTTGCATGAGGCACTGGGACCCACAACGGTGGGATTGCCACTTGCTTTTCGCGCGCGCCCTCGCGTGCGCCGGCTGATGGCTGCGATGAGACTGCCCAGCCTCCACCAGCAGCCCCTGGGCTGCGGGGATTCCGCCTGGTGGGTGAGGGGGCCTTTACCGAACAGCCCAAAAATACACCGCGCCTCAGAAACTTGCTTTACACATTTGCTCAGTTGCAGGAAGACCGCTTGTTTATCCCAGTGGTTGGTGGGTGAGTAGATCGACCACCGGTAAGAGGGAGCATTGGTTCATTATAAACTTGTGGACTTTGCAAGAAGCACTATGAGCAAGATACGAAATCTGCCCGGGCCAGCCCTTGTCGCCTCAGCATTTCGTCCACTTTTTCATTCCCGGGGCCTTGTGTGGTCTTCGTGTGCAGTCGTTTGGGTGGCCCTTCATTTTGACTTGCTTCATATCTCGATAGTCTTCGCGTGGCAAACCGCGCCATATGTAGTAGAGGCAACAGCTTCAGCCAGTAGGGAGACCTTGCCATTTCCGCTCAGGTATGGTCAATCCAATCTTCCGCAGTAAGACCTCTGATGAAGCCACAAGTCCAACACTGACAACGACCCCACATGTGTCTTTGTTTTTTCAAGTTTCTGGATGGCTGTCTGTGCTGTGAGGCTTGCTCTGGGGTGAGGACTGTAATACCATTCAGGGTCACTCCAACAGTCTGACAGCCAAGCGTGCGACACGCTTGGAGTTTCTACCGCGGTTGGGGAGTTTCTACCGCGGCTCCATGCATCTCTGGGGAGAAAACCCTCCCAAAACTCCCACAGGAGACTCCCACAAACCCGATTGTTGCCAGCCAACCCACGGATCCCACAGACCGAACCTGCCTCCCTCCGCGCCTCGGCCGTCGACGAAGCCTCGCCGTCGGTTCAGCCTCGCCGACGGCGAGGCTGTCCAGCATTCCGGTGCTCTCCACTGGTGGGGACTGGGACAGGGAATGGGGAACGGCAAGAGAATGAACGTCTGTCGTCTGCAGGTCCCAGTGGGGAGAAATCCGAACAAGAGACATAGCTGTATACCATACATACTATGATGATGCGTGTTTTTTTTTTCGAGGTGCTAGACTCGCTAGACTCTGTTTACTTGACGGGACTTAATTGTTGACCTGGAAGCTTGAGGGCTCGTAGCAACGTGGAGCCACCTGCGAAGCTGTGTAGGTAGGGACGGCTTGTTGCTTCGATGATCCATGTGAGTGACCCTGCTGTGAACCGGCAAGACCAGCGGGCACAGTCCGAACATATCCCAAGGATGCCTGATGTTCTGAGTCATTTTTCAAATTTTCAGATTATACGCCTATCTATGCACAATGGAGGTGGCTCGGAGGATCTGGAACTCTCTCCCCTTCCATGTTGGCCAAACAGAGGGCACCTTCCAATCGCACGAGAAGGTCCCACTTATGCCTCAGAGAAGATCTCCTTCTCCCAGAGACATGTCCCCTGAAACATCCTCTAGACTCCAGACAGGTGGTATGCAGGACATCCTCGGCTCTTCAGACATACTGACATACTCTTCTTGAGCTCCCTGCCCCACTGGAACCGGAACTCCTCCCCCGACTCCTCCGCGACCCACGCCATCTTTCCACCTCCGCACATCCTCCCCCCGGTGCAGGCACCAAATGCCCAGGAGACTTTACGGCGGTGCGGGTGCCCAGTCGGTCGCCTGCGTGAAACAAACGCCACAAAGGGGCGCCAAGAAGCATCAGGTATTTGGACCCTTGCGAGGTGTGTGTGTATTTTTCTTTTTAGGTATTGGCATTGTCCTCGTAGCAGAAGAAACGGACGCGCTGAGCACTTGGAAGAGGATTCTTCTTGTTTTTCTATCAGACCGAGGCTGATCTGAACCTGAGGAGAGATTGCGCCGTGGAACACGCATGACTGCACTACTTTACAGTACGATTGAGGTTCCAATGCGCGGGGCGGGCAATGTAGAATCTTGATTTATCAAAGCCCCCGTTATGAAGGGGGCATTTTCTCACGCAAGATGAGGGGAAGTAAGACATTTAGATTCTACATTAGCTAGGCAAGAGGATGGGACAGCATACTCGCAAAAGTTGTCATCCAGTGGCTTACCACCAGTTCCTTGACCTCCCCAGCCACGGTGGCGGAAACACGAGGCGGTCCGCGTCCGAATGAAGGCGTCCGAAGCCGCACAAAACAGGCAGTGGAACATGGCCGAAAAACACCCCCTGAAATGATCATGGAAGTGGATGGTGGTCCAGGATGGTCCCTTGGATCCTGTTGAAGCAATATATGACGCTCGCTACTTTGACTTGGTGAAGCACATGCCAGACGTGTCTCACACAGCAACAGAAGATTGGTGCGATGAACATCCAGACTTTTGAGTTGATCACAATGTGTTAAAGTCAGGATCCCAGGAACAGCAGGGGGTAGGTCAAAAGCAGATGCCCACCACACCACGAGCAAGATGTTCGGGATGAATCAAAGGGTGAACTAGCATGGGCTCCCACAAGCTTTGACACCGATCAGTAGTCTTTTTTCGTCAATTCTTTTCATGGGTGTGTCTTAGGTGTGTCTTAGTGTCCATGTGGTAAGTAGCTCAGCAGACACCCATCGGTCACATGTGACCGAAGACTCTTCACTTGCCGTCCACCATCGCCAAGGTGGACTCCATCCTGCATTGGCTCAGCCACGGCGTCGGGGGAACACAGGGCACAGGGCTTCTGGCCTGGCGAGAGCGTCTGCAGCTTACGGGCTGTTCTGACCTTCCGAAGGTGACTGAACATGTCATAGGCGAGGCCCAAGAAGGAAGCTCACCAGCCTGGCCCAGCGAAGCAAGCGGCATCAAAAAATGAAGCCACACACCTCTTCCAGGCAGACCGCCTCACTTTCTGCCGCTCCCTTCCATCGCAAGTCCCCTTCGGTCGCTTCCCGGTTGAATCCTCCACCCGTGGTCCGTGATCCGCTGCCGAGGTGCGGATGCCTGCCTGCATCTTCCATCAGGGTCAGGCGTGCGCCTTCATCGGAAAGGACGGCAGGCGCGGAAGGATCGTCGACTCTGCAGACGCTCGAACCGATCATCTGACTGGTGCGACGAAAGTAGGGAATAAGGGTGACTGGATCGTGAGGTATATACAAGAGGTGGTTCATTCCCTCATTCCCCACGAGTCGCACTCAGTCCGTAATAGCGGCGGTTCGAGCAGCCACCGGTAACTCCTTTTCATAAGTCCAATCTTATTTCGGTCATGTTTCTTGTTACTAGTATAGCTTCAAAGACATACTAGTAGCTTCTTGCTCCTAGTAGCGATGGCCTCCAACCTAATAGCGATGGCCTCCACCTAAGCTGATCATTGAAGGCACAGCGTTGCTGTGGGGCAGAAGCGTTTTGTGCAGCTGGATGTGGATGAAGAAGGGCACACTTTTGCGCAGGTGGGCGCATTCGGCACAAACCTTCAATTTTCTCTCAAACACTTGACTGGAGCTTAGCAGGGATGAGGGAAGTTTCGCTCCGATGGAGATTCCTTTCAATCCGGGCCACCCGAAACTTCCTTACTCAGCACCAGTCAAACACTTTGGAGGTTTTCAATCATGCCCAGTCCAGCCCAGACTCTCAGGATGCTTCTTCCCAACCGAGCATGGTCAGAAAGTAAATCCTTTGGTGCTTCAACCCACTCCAGCTGGATTTCATTATTCACCCTCAGCTCCTCTCACATTCTTCACCTTCAGTTTCAGCCATTTTTTTTCCGTGATTCCCCCTTCTGCATCTGGGCCCATTCTTGGTTTAGCTCAGGGAGGTGGCAATGCAGAAGTGCCGACCATT